TGAATGTAGAGTGTTTGGGATGGGGAATAATTCCTGTTCCTTCCCACTTAGATAATTTCCTGCGTCTTTCTGTTGCCTTCTGATGCTAAATTGTTGGTACAGCTGGAGAACTGTTTGAAGATGCCTTTAATTCTTTTACAGGGATGGCTGTTGAAGATGCAGTAGCAGCAAAATTTGTTTATGATGCGTGGTCAGCTGCCAACTAAAGGGGAGTCTGCAATGCCAATGAGGGCAAGAGAATGGTTTGCACTGAGTTTCCTTGGATCCTTTGTTAACAAGAAAGGCAACAATCTCATCTGAAAGTGGTCCTTCTAGAAGAGTAAAGAATAAAAAGTAAAATTTCAGCAATCAACTAATTTCTAAAATTTTGTGATTGCAAGTCTCAAATACCTGCAGTATTGCTAATAAATGGACCTCTCTTGTAACAGCAAGTATCAGATGTTTGCAGTGATACTAACTAGGGTATCTTTACATATTTTGGTGTCATTCTGGAATCTATGCCTTTCCTCCCTAATTATTTATGTAGGTGAAGTCTTTCTGTAGATTTCTGGTTTTTAGAGAGGTGATTCATACTGCTCTAAAATACAGCAGTTTGGACAATGGACTCTGGCATCATATTTGCCTGTGATGGTACTTTAAATGCAGCTGTGGGTTTCAGTGCTCCAGTGACAGTAACCTTGTCTTGGGTCTCCTGGGAACACAGCCCACCTGTGACTCCTGGACATTCCTTCCCTTCCAACTGACACTGGGACCTGGACGTCACCATTTTTATTTTCACCCCTTGCAGTCCATCTTCCCCACCCCCAGACCCAATGGTTTTTCACTGAAGAGCACAGGTCTGAATGGGAGTTTATATAAATAATTATGCTTCCACACTGTTAGATTTCTGCTCAGTACCTCCCTTAGTTCCTTCCTTGGTGGGGTGCTGCCATTTTCATATGAGAATTAAAATGTGTTTTGATTTAACTTTTATCTCTGTTCTGTGGGGAGATTTTGCTGTTAACCTCTGGTGCCTGTAAGTTCTCTTTCTAAATTACTTGAAGGTTGGAACCACACAAACGCATTTCAGTACAATAAACTTCAAGTGTACAGGCAAATATTTTCAGTTTGGCTGTACCATGCCTCAATTAATAATTGTTCTGTTATCCCAAATATTAGCTGGGGCAGGAATTTTCATGATCCTTCCCTGGCAGAGGAACCCAGTGACATAAGGAAGAGTTCCAGTTTTGTGCTGTTATGCAACTGCCTTGCAAGAGATCGAGCATCTGCTGGAAAACAGCTATTGCCCTGGAAACAAATTCCTGTCTCAGGCTAGAGCTGTGCCTTGGGAAATTTTATTTCTATTTGCATATTATTTCATGCAGGCTATTAAGTGTCTCTTCATGCTGTGGAAGAGATGACACAGAGCCAGCAGAATAGAGTGGAGCAAGAGGAAGGAGGTTCAGAAGCAGGTGGCATTAAAGCCCTTGGTGGTGCAGAGGGAAGTATGGAAGAGGTTAATGAGTACAGTGCAGGTGTGATGTAAATAATACTCCCAGTTAGAAGCCTGGTGTAAGCTAGTGGGGAAAAAAGTAGTAAGTGGCAGTTTGTAACTTGCAGAGGTAGCATAGAAAAGGTATCAGAGCAGTAAGAGAATAGGGACAAAGGATGTGCTCGTGTGGATAGAAGTTGAACTCCCCTGATCCTGTTTATTCCATCGGAAAGAACAACAGACATTTCTCTATGAGCTTTTGCATTTTAATTGTAGCAAAATTACCCTTCTATTTTTACGTCTCGTTTCCTCTTCATCCTTTCTGAGGTGTTCAGGAGTGTGTGTGTGTGTATTGACTCAGTTGTGTTACTTCAGTGCTGGAGAACTGCACTAACGTGAGGCAAACATGAAAGCCGTGTATGGAGCTGCATGGAAATGCACTATTTATGGCAATATCCCCCAGTCCTGGGCCTTGTGTAACACAAGATCTGTAATCTGAGGTGAAACATCGTGTTTGGGGAAGAAGACAAGTCTGGTTTATTTTCACACCTACTCTCCTACGGACTATGCACTTTAAAAAGTAGATGGAGCCAGCCCGAAGAGCTGGTTCTGAAAACCCCCCCAGTGTTCTCAGCTTTCATTGGCAGGGGGAGGTTCAGTGTTGTACCTCTGATGTCAGGAAGAGGAATGGGTTCAGTTACAATGGGAATTGCTTGGATGCCATCCTTAAGTTTTTTGAGGGGAAAGAATAGCATCAATTTCCGTGTTTCCTTCTCTTACAAATTAGTGGATCAAGAAATGGTGTAACTTGCATTTATATTAAAATTAAATAAATACTACTGTTTTTCTTCAGCTTCATTTTGTTGTCTGTTACTTTTCTGGTTTTGGATTAGTTTCTAGTTTTAACCCAAGAAAAGGGTTAGCACTACTGCACCTTTTTAATTAAAAAGAATAAAAACTGAAAAATGGGGTTGATTCAGTTGCCTAAAAATAAGTATCATATGGGGAGCTCTGGGGCTTCTTCACTCTCTTGATGCAGTTTCTGAGGGATGAGGGACTCCTACAGGTCTGGTGCTGCTCATTCCAGCTCCATAGAGTCAGTGGGAATATGTAAGGACATGCCTGAACACAGGATGCCTCTGACAACTGAGCAGACACCATCTGCACATAAACTGACTGTTATTTCTGCTTGTCAGAGGCTGCAGATGAGTAAGCAAAGAGGCAGATTTTCAGTGCAATTTAGAGATACTTGGGTCCTGATTCCCCCTGAAGTGCCTTGTCTTCTACCTACATTTGACTCCCATCAGTGACAGGCGTTTGCACACTTGGAGTTTTTTGCAAGCAATTCCAGGATAAATCAATCTAATCCAGTTATTTAAAATCTGGCCTGAAAAAGGTTCATTATGCTCAGCACTTTGCACTGTCAGAGCTGTCAGAGCAGGACAGACCTTGTGTCAACCCAGAGTGGAATTCATCTGCTGCAGCTGCAGGGATTGGAGGGTGCTGAGGCAGATGAGGCTGGGTTTGTCTCTTCTGTGGCTGCCAGGAGGAATGGGAAGCATCTGCATCTCCAGGATAGGGAAGGAGGATTTAAAATCCACTTTTTGGATGCCTTCAAGTATGTAAGATTCATTGTTTCCTTGCTGCTTTGTTAAGCATTGGGTGATTTCTTAGCCAAAATGAAAGCAGCCCAGCAGGTTAACAACACAGTCTGGGAGGAGGGTGCCTGATTCAATGACTGTGCTGAGCACAGCAATCATGGAAGGTTGCACAGAGCAGGACTTTGTTGTGATTGCCTAATAGAAGAAAATATCAGCCTGCTGCAGTACAGGAACCCAAAAAGGAAAGAATGCAGTGTAAAGTCCAGCCAAGGAAAGGTATTGTGATATACAAATCAAAGTCACAAGATGATATAGAAAGAAGAAACATGAAAAAACCCAGATCATTAACTAGGATTAGTGTCCACAAATGCAGTATACCCCTAAGGAAAATATCATAGCTGCCTAATGGAAAGCTATAGAAGGAGATTTAAAGATAAATGTTCTGCTAATAAATGTGCATCTAAAATCTGTAATCTTAGCCAGAGCTGCTCCAAACACCTTACTAGATTCACAAAACTCAACAGGAGCGATTAATTCATATCTGATAGTGCTGGCTTCTGAAAGGAACAGGTCTGAGAGGGAGATGAAGGGAACCCTGCTGGGAATGCCTCCAGACTGTGAAGAACAGGAGTTTCCACAGCAGCACAGTCTCCTTTTCCTTTTCATGAGCTCTGTGTGTGTTATACACAGTTCTCAGGCTAAGTCTGACAATAACCACAGGAATTGGGTGTGTGATATGAATCCTCGTTTCTGGGACTTTGCATGGTAAATGCAGCCCGTAGGAACCCGGCTGAGGGTACACCAAAACAGATCCAAAATATTGAAAATTAAACCTTAGCTTCTCGTAGTTAAAAGTATTGCAGTCTTGATGACATTTAGGACATGATGGGTTGTGGCAATTGGATCCAGTCTAATGAGATGAGAAAAGAAAATACAACCCAAACTGAACATCTCTTGGCAAGATACTTCATGTATTTTTAAATTATTATCAATTCAGTAGTAAAAACTTTATTAGTCAAAAATACGAAACTTGCTGCAAATTAGTCTCATTTACATTCATTCAGAGGTGATTAGAGTCAACAAACCACAGCTGAAATTAGGATTCAGATGCTATTTCTAACATGTTATCAGTACCAGGAAGAGCTGTTTGTAGTGATCAGAACAAACAGAAGCAAAGAGAGAAAACTCAAAGCTCTCAAGCTCTGAGAATGCTCTTTGCGTTCTTGTTTTGGAGAAAATAAGGAAGGGCTTTATAAAGGAATGTAGCATGGCTTGCCTTCACTGATATTTTAAATTATTTGGACCAAAAGAAATCCAAACCCCATAAACAGATCAGGGAGAAAAAGTTTTTTGAGTTTTTACCTTCACATTCTTTCTTTTCAACAGAATATGCTTAACTTAATATCCTGTTCACCACAGCCATCTATGCAGAGAGAAAAATCTTTGTCCCTGCTGTACTTTCTAAAGCAATTGGTAACCTCTCTGCCTTTTGCTTTAGCAGATATCTGACAGGAATTGCATAATTTATAAGCAAGTATCTACAGTTTTTCCAGGGTTCTTGAGTGCCTGTTTTCTTTTATTCACAGCATTCAGGACTTTCTTTCTTGGCCCAAGTTCCATCTGAATGCTCTGTAGATCTTCATCTGAACACAGCATCAGGGCATCTAAATCAATTTTTTCCCTCATGAAGACTGGAAGAAACTCATCCAGCATCTGTGATGCCAGAAACACTTCAAGGGGTGTGTTCTCTGCTTCCTCGTCGTCCCAAACCACTTCTTCCTCATTCCAAGGGATATCAGCACCATTTTCAGCATCATCTTCCCTGCCATTCTCAGCATTTTCATACTGGAAGAGCTCACTGGACATTGTAAAGCTGATACCTTCTTTCTCAGAAGGCACAGTTTCAGGATTTACATTTGCAGCCAAATTCCTTCCAAACACGATCTTGCCAAGGCCCGGCCTCTGGAAAATGGAGAGCTGACTGTTACTATCAGCGACGTTTTTCTCATCAAGGTCATTCAGTAACTCATCCTCCTCTTTCTCATCAAACAAATGCATCACATTTCTCCGGCCTGTATCATCTTCTTGGTCATTTCTTTGTGTTTCCTGGCTTCTTGTGCTGCCAGCTGTCTTTTTTGCCTTCAGTTTCAAGGTATCTTTCAGGTTTTTGGAAAAAGTACCTGTGGTGTTGGAAGCAAAGAGACCGGGCAGCTTTACTCTGGAGTGCGTTCCTCTGGAAGAATTCACTGTGCCAGCCTTTTCTTTCATGTAATTCCGGTTCATCTCATGCTGGTGTTTCTCTTGGCGTCTCTCACACTCCTTGATTTGTTTCTCAGCGTTCCTCTGGGCCTGT